TTAACCTTTAGATTTTCTAGTTTTTAAAATGGTGAAAAATAATGTCCATTATAAAATCAAACAGGCAAGGCGACATCTTGTTTTGTCTGACCAGCAAGTATTCAATTAAGACACATACTAGAAAAACAGGAAGTCCTCATACGTGTAAATCTACACTGAACATTTGGCTACAGATCCATAATAAAGTGTGGCGTACTGATGTAGTAGAGGTCGTTGGAGCTGCTGTTGAAGAACCAGTCTCCGTTCCTGTTGTTGCTATAGCTGAGCGGCATGGACGAGCCGTTCCTCTCGTCGATGATTCGGAATTTATCCGGACTCTGGGTGAAGTTGTGGTTGATGATCACAAATTCATCAGCCTGTGTGAAGCACAAGCAAAAAAACGTCAGTTTACCGTGAAAAACAGGTGAAGTGTATTAGCAGAGGTGGGGAAAGTACCCAGATCTTGTATTTAAGTAAAAGTAGAAGTACTGTAGAGTGTAGGAATACTCTGTAGCAAGTACAAATCCTGCAAAAAAAAAAGGTTATTTAAGTAAAAGTAGAAAAGTATACGCATCAAAATATAATGAAAGTAGCGACAGTAAAAGTAGTCATTGTGCAGATTGGTCCATTTCAGAATAATATATATGATATGTTTTATAATGATTGATCATGAAAGTGTTCTCAAAGCTGGTAAAGGTGCAGCTAGTTTGAATGACTTTGTATACTGCAGGGTAGCTTGTGAATTTACTCCAGGTGGAACTAAAGTCTGATTCAACACTTGATTATATTTCAGATTATCAATAAACATACAATGAATAAAAGTACACTTTTTTAAACCTTTTTATCTCTGAATTGTAGTGGATTAGAAGTTGCATTAAATGGCAATACTCAAGTAAAGTACAAGTACCTCAAAATGAAGTACAATGCTTGAGTAAATGTACTTAGCTACTTTACACCACAGGTATTTAAAGTGTGGTCCTTGTGTCGCATCATGTTAGGGATGTTGCAGGTACCTTGAAGCCGTAGAATGTTCCTTCGTAGGTGATGTTGGTGACGTGGTCCATGTCATCAAAGATCATGTTGTACGTTAGTCCAGAGGGCAACATGGCCATCCAGCCCAGCTTATGAGTCATCCTCTTCTTCAGATAGGGAACGGCGCTGGAGCCTGTACAAAAAACAAAATCCTTTCATTTATACAGTGGGAACATCATACTATGATCACGCCAATCAAAAGCAAAATGATAGTTATTACATTACTTCCTACATGCATCTAATTGACATTATGTAGACTAATAAGATGAAACTAATAACACTATTTACTGACGCTGACTGTTTTAATGCTTTCCAAATTAGTGTACAAATTACAATACTTGACTGTGTGTAAATACATGACACTACAATACAGTAAAGTTCAATATTTTAAATATAGTTTGTCACAGTTGGAATTATAATGAAGCTAAAGCACCATTACCTGTATTCTTGTTTTTATTCCTGTCCTATTCGATTTTAGCTTTTTTTAAATTTGTATTTGCATTTTCTGACTGCTTCTGACCTCCAAATCAAACTTTTATTAAATGTCCCTCTATAATGTGTTTCTGTTGCTCTATAGCAGGGGTCGGCAAACTTTTTGATATGAAGTGCAAAAAATTGTCATCAGCGGTGCCAACGGATCGGAGAAATTATCCAACGGGGGCGGGGGGAGGAGGGGGGGCTTGAGGAGCTTGACACCGTCAACTATCAGCGGAGGGCGGAGGGACGGCCCTCGCTGCGGGGAAGCAGTGTGTAGACCTACCTCAGCGCAACTTTACATGATGCGAATTTACAAACACCATTTAAATAATGATTTAACGGCATAATAATAAGGCCGATCGTCGCACCGTTCTGTGATTCTCCAGAAGCACACATGTTATGCATTATTTAGGGTCATGGAAGAGTGAGATGAGATCGCTGGTCTTTAATGACAGAAGAGAGAGCGAGAGAGAGAGAGACGAGAGAGAGAGAGAGAGAGAGAGAGAGACGGGGTGTGGCTTGTGCATGTTCGTCGTGTGGATGGTCCGAACGAGGAGTGAGGGAACGTGTGTATGTTTCTGCGAAGTGAAACGGAACAAGGCAGAAAAACAGAGGTCTGTGATGTATTTTGTGAAACAGAAGAACAACTAAATAAATGCAACGGCCTCCCAAGAAGAGCTCGCCTCTTCTCCAGTCATTTAAGCTAAAGGGGTTATTGAACCTGAAGCTTTCGTTGCTTCTGCCCCCCTCTGATACGGCTGGGAGCCGACAGGGAAAGTTCACACTACATCATGGCCAGTCCGCCCGCTTTGTAGCATATTATTTCGAGAGAGATGAGCAGATCGCCACTGGGCTTTCAACTAAATACCACAGCCACGCAAAACTGCGCATTTGCACAGCTCCTTATGGGTACTGCAACTCTCGCCTGCTTTTCCTCCGTGGTGAAACGATCAGCACTGCATCACGGAGGAAAGCGGCGAAAGTCACCTGGGAGTTAAAGAAAGCGGGGCTGCGTTGCGTGCATGGCTTTCCTTCTGCAGGTAACGGGGAGACGCGCTCCGGCGGCGGTTCGTTCAGGATCCGAAAATACAATTTAAATATTTTGCACACCTTATTCCACTTTGTTCCTAGTGTGGCCACTGGTTACGGTGCCGGTGCCAGCATGCCAGGTGTAGTGCCGACCCTGCTCTATAGTTTTCCGCCCCATACTAGCAGTTTCCCCACTAACCGACCAGTAGAGGTCAAGTAAAGATTACAGGGTGAAAAGTAGTGAGTCTGTGTATTTAATACCATGTGAGTTGGTTAAGTGACGTCTTCCTCCAGAGATTGGCCGGCGATGGATTGTGAATGCGAACGATGGAAGTTGACGGTGTGGTCGCACACGCGCGGGGAAAGACCACGCTCCACCTCGGCACTCGCTGGAACAGTGGGCGGGGTCCAGCAGGGCGCTAGAGGCACCACTTTATGGTTTGGATGGCTTCCTGGTAATCCCAGGGAAACAATGGGGGACAGTTTGATTTTGAATGAAGGAATGTACACACCTGAGCCCGAAACCGTGATATTTGCTGTTTAGGTTGTCTATGACATAGAAATGAAAAGACGTAGCTTGTTGAACAATATCTCGTTGTCCATAAGGAGCCCATACACTTAGGGGCCTGAGGGTGTACAAAGACAACTTAATAAAACGGAAAATATTTTTTACACGTTTTTCCCACCATTTGCTTTAGAGTTAAATTTCACCCGAATGAGAATTTATTATATTTCACAAGGTGTTCAAAAATCTCTTTGTTGTTGTCTTATTGATTACAAAACAGAATTGCACAATGTTTTGGCACAGACTTAACTAACTCAGGGATTTCAAGGGGCCTGATCAGCTCATGTTAGGGTTCGTAATTGTATTGTGTTCCTCTACTTCCGACATGTCTCCATGCTTTCATTTCAAAAAGCTCTTTATTGTTCCTCCATAGCGGGCCTCTGCTGCAGCACCTCTCTGTTCAACTCTGTCGAAACCAAGAGCCCAGTCTGCTC